CACTCCCAGCACAGGGACCCCCAGAGGGGGGGCATCACCCGGAGTACCCAGATCCCCAATTCGGATCCAAGGGCTCCTCCAGGCACAGGGTCCATTTAAACCTGCCACCTCAGCCCCCTTTTACCATCAGCATCTCGTTACAGCACGGCTTTCAATGTGAGGTTTGTAAGGAATTAATTACTGGAATGACCTAATTAATCGTGTTCCTGCAGACAAGCCTAACCCCCAGCACCCTGCCAGCGCCGAGGGAGCCGGGGTGGCAGGGGACACGGTGATGACATTTCTCCAACTCTTTGGCAAAGCCAATTCCCAAAGCTGCTGCATCCCGTGTGAGGAGGGAAAGCTGGGGAGCAGCTGGGTGGGAAAAGGAGCACTTGCATCTCCATGGGACACTGCACAGGGAGAGGGATGGCTGTCAGCAGGCTCCTCCCAAAGGCAGTGGGATTCTCCTCCCTTCTCTCCACCACCTCTGCCAGGTGAGGAGCCCTGGCTCCTGCCAGAGACCAGGCTGTCTATGAGGCATGAGCATGGCACCCAGGCAAACCTGGCGGGGTGGCGCAGGGGAAGCGTGGCTCTGTCCCCTCCCACCTGCCTCCAGCCCAGCCAGGTGATGCTGAAGAGACCCGGCCGCTAAGCCCTGGCTCGGTTACAGCGGGGTGGGACGCTGGAGCTGGAGCTGGGCTCAGCAGCCGGGGTGGCAGGGACAAGCAGGAGGGGGGTGGGCTGCTGGAGCTCAGCTCCTGCACACCCGTCCTTGGGGACGCAGGGATGTGCCCGTGGGGCTGTGCTCCTCTCGGGAGAGAGCTCGCCCCTCCTGCCACGTTCCTTCTGCCAGGAAACAAACCCCAACTGCCAAACGGGACACCTGCACCGTCAAGGTCCACCATCACAACACGAGGAGCACACCAGGACAGCAAGGGGCAAGCAGGGCCTGGAGCCCTCCCTGCTGCCGCCCTCCAGCTGCAGCCCCCGCATGCCCCTCTGAGCCCACCCTCATCTCCTGAGCACCCTGTGGCTTCACTCCCCAAAGAAATACCCATCCAGGACACCCAACCCTCCTCTTCCTCCCTGTCCCCAGGAAGGCAATAGCTTAGGGGAGACAGACCTGCCCCTGGGGAGCGAGCATCCCCACCAGCCGGGTTTGTTACCAGGGAGGGAACCAAAGCCCACGGGAGGAGAGGAAATGGCTGCACTGTTTGCTCTGCTCAAGCCCCCAGAGCTGCTGGCTGCATCCCCCGTGCCCAGCCCACAGGGACTCAGGGCCCGAGGAGCGAAGCGGCTGCGGGGAGGGGGAGCAGGGTACCAGCAGTGGCACCGGGCTCCCCGCAGCCACCACCGCGCTTCCCGCCCCTGCAGACCGGGTCCCCTGCTGCAATCCTGCAACGGGAGAGGAAAAGCATGGGGCAAAGGCCTCACACGTGGCACGGGGACCGGCATGGCCAAGGGTGCTGTGGGACGGGAGATGGAGGAGGAAGGATGGAGAGCCAAGTCCCCCACCTGTGCTCCTGGGCAGAAGTTGTGACCATCCTCCAACCCCGGTGTTAAACACCGCTGGGCACGTACGCAGAGGATCAGGGATGAAAGCCTCCGTGGGCTGAGCCAATGTTAGGACAGAGCAGGGGATCCCATGCTGACAGCTCAGCCCTCCCCAGTTCACTCCAGCTGGAGTCACAGAGGGAAACTGGTGCTTCGGCCTCAGTGCCAGCTCCCCACGCACCACGGCTCAACGTGCCCATCCCTGGCTCCAGGACTCCGACGGGGACGAATCCAGCCCAGAGGCTGAAATGCTGAGCCCCCTCGCCTGCAGCCCAGTCCTGCCTCCCTCGGCTCGACAGCTTTGCCAGGGCAAGAGCCACCTATCCCCAGGGCAGGGACGCTGCCCAGCACACCTGAAGGGTGCCAGCTGCCACGTGCCCTTTCCTGCCAGCCCCACAGGCAGCGAACAGCTCCACGGGGCTCCCCTCCAAAGGGACTGCACGGCCCCTCTGGGGGCTGCGCCAAGCGACACATCTCTGTGCGGGATGCAGGGGAGCAGAGCGAGGCAGTAACCCCAGCACACAGGGACAGCACAGCCATGGACAAAGCTTTTGGGACAAGCCAGCCCCTCCCAGCCAGGGGTACCCGCAGCTAGAGGAGCTCCTGCCTCGCTCCTTCCCAAGTGTGCAAGGGTGGCTCCAGGCAGAAGGTGACCCAGATGCTGGCAGGATCTGCACCGGGCATGACACACCCACACCAAGCACCAGAACAAAAGGTCTTCCCTGGGGAGAGCAGCATGAACAGCCTCTCCTGGGCTGGGCAGCCAGCACTGTGCTGGGGAATGGGCTGCAAGGCTCAGCCACAGCCCTGCCGGCTGTGCCTAAGGACAGGGAAAGGACAGGATGTCTCCCAGAAGGGAGACAGTACACAGGAGAAGGATGGATGCAGGCACCAGCAGGGAGCAGCCCACAGGGGACCAGGGAGGGCTGGCACCTCTACCTTGGTTGGGCTGAAGACGGAGTGGACACAGCGCAGCATCTCCTTCGTGTCTTCTCCTTGGGGGTCTCCACAAACAACAACCTGTCCGTGGAGAGCAGAGAGCTGTGCCTGCGGCCACACCACTGCCAGGGCTCCTCCCTGCAGCAGGTCCCACAGGGGACACGGAGCCCCCAGCCCGTACCTGCTTGAGGGTCTGATGGAAGACACCGGTGGCCCGGGCCATCTCCGGCAGCGCTATCGGGATCTTCCGCAGCCTCTCTGAGTAGGCAGCCAGGATCTGCCCAGCTTTTTCCACCCACTCCGTGTGGCCAGAGTAACAAGCTGCTCGGAGCAGGTTTGTGACAGTGACGGAGTTGGCGCTGGGCTCTGCTCCATCTTGATCTGCAGGGACAACAGCTCCTCCATCAGCCACTGACTGCTCAGTCCTCCGGCCCTGCCCCAGCCCTGCCCTCCCTCAGCTGCCCCACCCCACAACCCAGCAGAGCATGGCCGTGTCCCTGAGCTCACCATCCTTCAGGCGCAGGAGCAGAGAGGGGTCACCAGCCTCACTGGAGAAATAGGCAAAGCCTTCGGGGTCCCAGAAGAGCTTGTCCTGTGTGTGCTGGAGCTGCAGGGCCCACTCCAGCCAGCCCTGCTCCAGCGAGGCTTCATACAGGTCAAAGAGGGCCTGGATGATGAAGACGTAATCCTCCAGGAAGCCCTGGATGGGCACAGTGCTGCAGTGGCACACAGGGAAGGAGTATCAGTGTCTCTACACCAGCCAGGTGGGAAATGTCCTCCAACCCAGCAAAGCCCTGCCTACTGGTCTCTGCTACCCGAGGAGACGCCACCTCAGAGCTCAGTCCAAGACAAGCAGTGCCTGTGCCAAGTCATGACTTGGGCACGACGGGGAGGGCAACACCCGTGGGGTGTGCAGTCGGTCTGCAGACACTCCTCACCCCTGCTCACCTCTGCTCCACCGTGTCGTCCTGGCCCCGGTAGCAGCTCCGCAGCAACCTCCCACTGCTGGGGTCAAAAAGGTGTCTCCGCAGGAAGGCGGCTGCCTGGGCAGCCCGGCTCACGTACTCCTGCTCAGCCAGGGCTGCCCCAGCCTGGGCAAAGCCTGAAATCATCAGCCCTGCGTAGGCACAGACACGGGGACAGGCTCAGCAGCAGCACCAGGAACTGGCAGGAGTGTCACTGTCTTTCCTTCAAAGGATGCTCAGTGTGAAGCTCATCCTCCCTGAGGTTCCAGGCAGGTCAGGGCTTAATCAGCAGCTCTTCCACTCAGTTCAAACCACTGAGAAAGTCACTTACTGTCACCAAAGAGAAAGGCAGAGTGCTGCAAGGCCAGCAAGAGCTCAGCTTTTGTTTGTGGGCAGAAATAGGGCTTAGGAGAGGCTTTGTGCTCACAGCATGTGGAAAAGCTCCGGTCTGTGCCAGCTCCAGACCCAGCCCCCCAGGTGTTTGGGGACAGTGTCTGGGGTAATGCAGTTACCCCCTGCAGCAGGACACCTGGACAGACGGACATGGAGCTGTGGTCCCCCTGTTAATGCAGCAGTGGAGATGGGCTCGGTGCCCGCCTGGGTCCCGAGGCCCCATCTCTGTCCCCTTCCCCAGAGCCCAGCTGGGGGAGCTGGGCTGAGCCAGAGGAAGAGTTCTGCTGCTCTCCACTGGCAACAAGAGTTCTGCTGCTCTCCCAGAGCAATATCCCTATGCTCAGCAGCCTCAGGCTGCTTCACAGAATCATTTAGGTTGGA